ATATATTACAAATTACTAAAAAAAATTCTCTTTCAATCAAGCTAGATTATAAGTTTTGAACAATAAATTAAAAATTATAATAATTTTTAAAAATTAGAATACAAATACTGATAATTTTTTAATTATAAAATCACATCACAATATAAAGTAAGACGTTATAAGTTATAAAATAAATAAATAAATAAAAATAATATCTGATTAAACGGGTTGGGAGACCAACCTCACCCTAACCCACCACTTAACTTGGTGGATTAATAGATTATTGGACTAAAATATCCAACTTGCACCCAAATGATGGCTAACTGATCGTAAGTAATTAATGACTACTTTATTATCCTTAATTTTTAACACTAAAATTTGATTTGCAACTCAAAGAACATTGAATTAATTTGATCAATTAGGTTGAATTGAGATGAGATTTATATGAACAATCTAAAAACGTTAAAGTATATATATATATATATATATATATATATTAATAAATAAAAGAAACAAGTATGAGTATGTTCCAAGTCTACATATTTAAATTTTCACGAGGTAATTGACTTAATCAAATAGGTGTTGATTGTGAATTAATTAAAACTACACTAGAAATATATACCATGTCATTGTATGAGTTTAAGTAAAATTCTGTGTTTTCTTACTGCACTCAATTTGATGTAATTGGAGTGGGGATACCCTTGTACTCCAACTTATTAGTTTATCTATATATATATATATGAAGGGGATTATATATAATTATATCGGTGTAATTTTTACCAAATATTACACCCTTCAATAACTTTATATTAAATACGAATTTTATAAATTCAACCATTAGATTGAAAGTTCATATCTCTTAGATCATATATACAAAATTTTATATTAAACCAAGATGATTTGATACTTCATTTTTATAAAACAAAATTGACGTAATATATTCATTTCAAAATATACTAAAATATGAACACTTTGATTACCTTTAAGTTTTTGTTCAATTTTAACAAAATTTGATATATACGTATAAAGTGATATGAACTTTCAATCTAACGATTGGATTTACAAAATTTACAATTAATATAAAATTATTAAGCAGTGTAATACTTAATAAAAATTATACCGGTGTAATTATAACTCATATATATATATATATATATATATATGAATCGTATCGGAAATAGGCCGAGATCAGACAGGTCAGATTCTGACCGGGACGGTACATACATATATATATATATATATATATACACGTGTGTGTACGTTATTAAAAAAGAAAAAAAAACTAATACTGTAGTTATTAAAACAGAAAATAAATTAACCAAAGAATAGTTTGTTTTTACATTTTGATTTCTTTAATTTTCCATTCTAAAATAGATGAATACTTTAAATTATGGTGGAGGTCGTTAGTTACCATCGCCACTATCAGAACAAGAAAGAACAAAGAAATTAATATTGGAATGTAGAATTTAAAAGCAAAACATGCGAGTGAGTCCCAAAATTATTTTGAGCCACTCCAACTTTCTCTTTCTTCTTTGCATCTTCCTTGAGGACCTGAGCAGAGCTTCATGGTTGTCGCGACAAGAGGCTTGACGAGGGATAGAGCTCCATGGCCACCACGATAGGACTCGGGAGGTTCAACGAGGAGCTTCATGGCTTTCCATGCCACAGGCGAAATAGTGAAATTTATCTAAGTGAAAACTTCTTTCACACATGAACATGATCATACCCTAGTGCAATACCATGTGACATATTCTATGCGAGTTCTTTAGCACCCGACGTAAAAAACGGTGCTATAACATCTTTGAAATGTTAACGAAGTTTTCTATGTCGAATGCCACCTGACCAATATTTCTACGTTAACCACTGTAGATGTTCTATTTTACCTTGGTTAAAATTACAACAACATAGAAATGTGATTCACTCATTGTTCTTTTCACACACCTTTGTCTTCTTTTGTTGTTGACCAACTTCTTCTATCTCTTCCATCCTCCTGCCTCCTTCAATGTCATACCTCATTCGTCTTTAATTAGCTTCAGCGTCGGCGTGCTCATCTCCACCATCCTTTCTCACATTTTTGTCTTTACATTGCCATCCAATGTTTTTAAAACTGTTCTTATCTGAGATTGGTCTAGGAACGACCTCTTTGATGAGATTGGTAAGCCTCCTCTGTTTCACAAGTTGGTCACTCTGAGTTGGGAGTGGTACGTACCTGTAAAAGAGACTCCAATACTTAAGTTAATTTTTGTAGATATGAGTGTCTCGTATATATAATACACGTATTTTGTAATGAATTAGGATTTTTCTTTCATATGCAGATATTTTTATTAGTTAAGATAAGATCGCTTACTTATCTCTTTATCTCGTTAGTTGGAGAATGATCTACCTTTTGACTGATGTGACGAGGTGACTCAAGAGATGACGTGACTATGATAAGTCGATGTGACTTATCAACATTATTTTTTGGAACGAAATTGATAAAACTTTGCCAACTCAATCAAGTTGGTACAAAAACTAAATAAGTCTAAGCATTGATTCAAAATTTAATGGTTCAATTGTTAAACAATAATCAAATTAATATTAATAAAATAATTATTATTACAAAAAATAATATTAAATAAATATAATATTATAATTTTATTAAATTAAAAATTAAATAAAAATATTATTTATAAGTTTTTAAATGTATACGTGAACTTTAAAATTAAATATAATATAATATTTAAGATTAAATTTTAATAAAATATAACAATATCAGTTAATAATAACAAATTTATATCTGTAATAAATAATTTTAAATTAATATAATATGAATTATATATATAAAAAATAAAGATATTAAAAACTGCAAATTTACATAAATGAATAAGTTGTATTTATAAGAAAAGTAGTAAAATAATTTGTTCTAATATATATTTTTTATTAAATATATATTTATTTTACTTTTATCAAAAATATTTAAATTAGAATTTAAAGACTAAAAATATGATTCAAACTAGTTTGATTAGTTCTACACCATTCATTGCAAAACAGTTTTATGAACTAATCTAAGCGGATAATAAGGACCTTAATTTACTGGCTAAGACCGATTCGACCGACCTATCCGATTTTCATAAGCATGATATTGCCACTCTTCATTCCTTATTTGTTTGTGTCGTTTGTTTTATTTTTATTTTTTAAGATTAGTTTGTCTTTTTTTTTTTTTTTTTTTACTAGATCTACTGGGAGAGATATAATGTTGTGCAGGGGTTGGAAGAGACGAAGCGGCGCTTTCATGAACAACATTTGATGTAATTGGAGTATATATATATATATATATATGAGTACAACTTAATTAAAAAGAAAAAGAAGCGAGCTAGTTCCAAATTTATTACGAGGAAGATTTATTGACACAAGGAACAATCTCAACAAATGTCAGAATACTATTGTTCCTAATTATTTTTCCCCACCATTCATGGTTTCAGCAGATAATTATTATAACATCACACTTGGAAGCTTACCTTTCTCATTTGTGAAACTCAAGTATAACCAAATAAGCATCAACATAGAAGGCACGAAAATGAGAAAAACCAGCAGCAATGCCAAGCTGTTCAAATTGTTGTACAGTCCTGTGCTTGCCCTTTGTTCTATACATTGTCATTATGAATATGTCAGCACTAAGCAATGCTCTTGTTCGGTGACTCTCATCTGTAAGCTCTGGCAGCACTGGTTCGCAAACAATCATTTTTCCGTTCTTTGGAAGTGCCTTATAAGAATTTTGAAACACTAGCGCGGATTCCTCGTCTGTCCATGTTAAAAATGCCCACTGCAAGTTCAATCAAGACACAAAGAATATATATATCACATTGACGTATTGAAATTTCTCGTATTAAATTTTACAATAGATCATCAGTTGAAGTTGGATTTTTGGGTAGTAGAAATATCTTGGAGTATTGACTATAGAGCCTTAAAATTTTGAAAATTTATATTAATATTAAGTCTTACTCACTAGGTAATAAGGTCAGCTACATATTGTCTTTGGTTTTTTTTTTTTTTTATATTTTTATTAGTATAACATATAGTAGTACGATAAAACTTATTGTCTTTGATTTATTATTATTATTATAACTTGTCTTTGAATTTAGATGTTACAATATTCACAAATAACTTCTAATATTTTTGTCAATTTTTGTCATCTTGTTTCATTAGTGTAAAAATTACATATTACTACATAAAATGTTATTTATCCCATGTAAAATATCTTATTCTACATTGATCGTCAATTTAATTAACGTAGGATGTGATATTCTACATTAGTTAAGAAATATATCCTATGTTCATTGAAACATTAATGAGATTCACATGCACGGACTTAACAACCCAAGTTATAAAATGCAATACATACAAGGAGCACAGGAGCAACAAATTCTCATCATACTAGTAATTATCTCTTCATAATGTCTTGCATAACTTAAACACCTTTCTTCTCCAAATTAAACTCGTCCACAACACTTCTCTTGCTACATGAAGCTTTTTTCCAAATTAATAAAAAATTATATGCAAGTTTTTTTCGTTACTTTGGCACATTTTCATCATCTTCCGTAAAAGATAAATAATTTCTACTGTAGACCTTCCTAACATATAAGGTAATTATTGAAGAAGAAGAAGAAATAATGACTTTTACTCCTAAAAATCATTTTTTAAATAAATGAAAGTATTCGGCGATTGAAGCTTTAATTTTTTTAAATTAAAAGAAAATAACATTTATCAAAATTTTCATTTTTCAAATAATACATTTTATTTTATTTTTTTACTAGCTAGGCATAGCTTGTCAACAGTTGGCTCAAATATATTTTCGAGATGTGAATTGAGAAAGGCACCTTGACGAAGATAGCATCTCCTCCGGAGGGAACAGATTCAAACGCGTTACCACCAACATGTGTTACGCCTACATTAATTAATAATATATTAAAAGTGTATTTTTTTATATTCGTACATGAAAAAAATAAAAATAATTAGGTATGATATGAGTTGTTAATTTTTTTTTTACTTTTGAATAATTGGACAATACAACCGCATGCGTTCCAAAATAGCAATGACTCAAAGTAAGGCTGAATATATTTTCATTTGATCTTTAAATTTATTTTAATTTTTATAAATAAAAAAAATATTTTTAGCTTTCTATTTAATTAACAAAATTAACGATTTATATTTTAGTCTCTCTTTAAAAACTACAAACATATGCAATGAGACTAAACTTAAAACATTTTATAAAATACAAGAATTAAGATAACTAAATTGTTATAGAAACTAAGATCACAAATGGTAACATTTTCAGAGATTATAAAAGCATCTAAACCTCCAAAATCTATATAGCTAGTGGCATAGGTATACCTGGAATCTCCGGTGCAGCAGCCACCATTCCTGGGAGGTCAAAGTTGATGCCCTTGAGCACGTTAGGGTATTTGTCCATAATCATGCGAAGAGTGACTCCATTATTGCCAGCAACATCAACTAGGGTTTCCACTCCTTGGAAGCCGTCATAAACTTGAAGCAGTTCCCTCATGAAGGGTACACACATCCCACTCAAGGATTTATGAAACAAGTTCACCTCATCTGGCCTCTTAGAGTAGTAATCTATTGGTGCCTCGCCATTTATCTTTTCAAATGGTTCCACACTTGTATCCTCCACTGCTTCCCCCACCAATGGCCATGCTCGCATCATAGCATCCTGTACGTGGATTTAGCCAAAAACTACGATATTTTTTTGTTCTTCTCTCTTTTTAAGATTATGGTAACCGTTCATGAATAGTTGCATCCAAGTTCACTCAAACTTGTGCATGTCATTAATTGTAACTTGCCAAGTGGACGAACCACAGCGGTTGGCTGCTTAAATTTTTACGGACAAATAATATAAAATCTCATTGTTAATTATTCAAAATATTACCCACATATTTTTAACACACTTTTTTATTATATATTAAATTTATTAAAAAAATATAAAAATACTACATATTTAATAAGTCTCACTTATAATTTTATAATTTTAAATAAATTTTAATCAATAACAGATTATGTCAAAACGAAATGTGTTGTTAACACCATTATTAATTACTTACATTTTCTCAAATCATTCATTTTTCTTAAATGTGTATAATTAATTACACTCTTCTTTTTTGTTTTTGAGAAGTAATTACACTCTTCTAAACAAATCTTTCATGATTTTGATGCTATTGATATGAGTGACGAGTTTGTATTTTTTAAGCAAAATTTGAGTTGCAGGTTTGAATAGAAAAAACATGATTGAAAAGATAATTTCCATTAAATTAAAGTGGTTAGCTAGACTCTTAATAAACAGAATTGGTAATTGATAAAATAGATAGGTTTCTATAATAATAATAAAAAAAGAGTTAAAAATACTCCTGTCCAAAATAAAATAAAATACTCTTCATGATCTTTTATTATTGGTTAGTTTATTTATATAAAAAAATCTTATAAACAATTACATTGAGTTTTCAGTAAAGAATGCAGTACAAATTAACATTGCTCTAATATTTTCGTTATTCGTTAACAATATTATATTGCTGTATTATTTTGGTTGTTATAAGAAACATGAAAAGGCATGATAAAAAGTAAAAAATAAAACAAAAACTAACCTGGTGGTGTTGGAGCATGTAATATGCATAGGATAGACCTTGGTCATCGTCGGCGAGAGATTTTCCGATATGAGTGAGGGAGTATTTCCTTTGGCCACTGCTGCTCAAGTGCTCATCGAAGATGTCATAGCTGGTCAGCAACCGGAGGAGGCGCTGGAGGTTCTCGGCGTCGGCGCCGCCGTGGGGACGGATGCGGGAGAGGATTTCGGCGGCGGTGAGGGGAGTGTTGGAACCATCTTGCATTATGGCTTCGGGTACCTTAAATCTAAGGACAGTAATGAGGGACATAGGGACACTCATTATGTGGGCAAGTTCCAAAACGGCAAGTCTGGCTTTGGTTTCAGACCTTCCAATGGTATTTTTGGTAAAGTCCTTCTTCATCTCACCTATTTCCTGCACCTCACCCATTATGGATCTTTTTATTCTACTCTTCAATGTTTCTAAAAGATAAGAGACCACACTAATTTATAGAATTACTAATACATATACTATTTAGAAATTTCCATTTTTCCGGAGTTATTTGTCACTAAGAATATTACTTTATTAATATGGGTTTGGCTTTTCTGATATTCAAAGAATGACTCCTTGTTATATTGATTAAATATGTTTTGTAAAAGACTGCGTTTAGAAGAAATGACTATGAGAATTTTACTGTAATATAAGGTATATAGAATCAAGGGAAAATTGATATAAACAATATAATATAAATTAAGCATTTTCTTCGTCATACTAAAAGTTATTTAAAAAAAATCATCATAAAGTATATCAATACTTATATATAAAAGAAAATTTTTTATTTTGATGTAGGCATTATTAATTACAATTTTAATCATTAATAATAATAATTAATATAAAGATGAAAAAAGTCTCTATAATCTGTTTTAAAAAAATTATTAGTAACCGCTCACTACCTCTACTAACTTGAATATTAAAAAAAAAAAAAAAAAGTATGAAATGTTTTTTACCCACTAATGGGATATAATCATATTTCATAAGATTTTTTTAAAATAAAGATAAGGCTAGCAAACATCACTATATACACTAAACATCTCAACAACCTTAATACTCTTAGGTCTAGCAATGATTTGTCGCAAATCCATATGATATTAAAAAAGGATAAAATGATACAAATATGGGGGATTAAACCAAAAACTCACAAGAAAATCAAGCAAAATGAAGAAAAGGCAAATCATTACGGTTACAAAAAAAGACCTTCTAATAAAACCTACGAGGATCCCACCAAATAAAAGACTCTCTATGCAACAAATCAAAAGAAGTTAAAGTATCAACACAAACATTCCTTTCTCGAAAAATATGGGAAGCATAAAACCCCATTCTAGAAACAATGGTTAAAGTATGACATCAATTATTCCAAAGATCCCAAGGAACAATATGTTCATTATTAGATAACTACAATGAATTGTCATCATGACTACAATGAGCTCTGCATGAAGAGTGGTCCTAAGGAGAAACCATTGATGAAGGCACCATGATGATCACGAAAGATACCCCTATTAGCCAAATGATTAAGATAACCAAGAGCTACACCATCAATATTACAATTAACAAACCCCAATGCTAGAAGATGTCAATCAATTGGATAATGTGGCTCTCCTTAGGTGTCCTAGTAGAACAACTCATGTTACGTAGCATGATTCTATCTAAACCAATTTCAAAAGAGATCCTAAGACAGTTAACTCGAGACAAAAGTAGAAGATATTACCAAAGAAACGACGTGATCAGTGACTCAAATTAATTACCCTAATCCAAAAGCAAAGACTATTACAACAAAACCAAACTACCCAAATACATAAGTTATATACACTATAATTTTGATAATTTTTTATCAACAAATTTGTCATGTGTGTCAATTAACAAATAAATTTTTTGATCTTGTATACTTAAGTTAATGGTATAGTTTATAATTATATACTATATATATACTTTTAGTATGATGATGAAAATGACTAATCTATATTATATTTTTATATGAATTTTTTCTTAATTTTATAGACCTTAAACTTTTGTAAATTAAATTCACATAGTCATTTCTATAATGACTCTATTAATTTGGATACGGTTTATAAGGATTTTTAAGAGTTTTTCAACTAAAAATTAAGAATATTTTTTAGTAGAAAAGTTCTTAAATGCCATTCTAGGCTTTGATCCAAGTATGTTCTATGTGAATTTTATAGTCTTCATGATATAAAATAAATAAATTTTAATAGAACTCTTTATAATGAAAAAACAATTTTTTTAATAATAGTTATGGATCATAATTAAAAGAGTTTCCAACTAAGATGGCAATGGTGTTCTGTGGAGCGGGTAGTAGAATAATTATATCTATTCTGTCAGATAAAAATTTGTCTTGTACCCGTTTCATACTTACATGGGTATCCATTTAGTAGGTATTTACAAATTTTATAAATATTTGTAGATATTCATGGATATTTATGAATTAATTTAAAAATTAAAAAATTATAAATAACTGTAAGTTTATATTTGATGTTAAGTATATAGAAATATTGAATATAAACAACTGATATTATTTTTTGAATATAATTAATGATAATTTGTTTAAAAAATTAAAAATAATATAAAAATATAAGATTAAAATATGAATATTTAAGTAATATTATTTAACGAATATAGATACTATCATACTTATCTCATCCTGTTTATAAATAGATAAAAAAAAATATTAATATCTATTATTCGGATGTATTTATTTAGATTATTCATTTATTATTTATGACAAATTTTATTTATAAATGCATGTATTTTTTTATCCTACTTGCACTAACAAGTGAATGTTTAGGATTTGATTTTGAAACATAAAATGTTAGATAATATAAATAAATTAAAGATAAAGTAACAACGAGAAAATTTAAGTCAACTGTATTTATGACATTACATTAATTAATATTGAGAGAGATTTTCATATGCTGATAAAAATAAGATAAAATAAGTTAATAATAAATCATTTTTTATATGACAAACATCGTGGATTTATTTTTCTAGTAACCTTTTTTACAAAATTATAAGTAGTTTTTTTTTAAGTAGAAGCATCAATATCATTGATTAATAATTAGTGATTAATTTTTTTAATAAATTTTCTATGTTATTTATTTATCTAAATATATAAAGTAAATAATTTTTTTAATACTCTCTGAAAAGAGAGTCTCGAATTATCGCTCGCAAACCGCCACCGATAGAATCCCATATATATATTTTTTAATTATTTGCACATTTTTATATCTTTCCTTTGATTTTTTAAAAAGGTTACACTCTTCTAGCCGTACTTGCACTATATCTTTTATTGTTATTGAATATATTCTTTAAAAACAATACTTTAAAGGATAACGTATATAATAAGAAATTAAACTAGCCTTGAAGAAAACATTTCAATACTGACAATATTGCTTTATTATTTTCGTTGATATTTGAGAAACGTGAAAAGGCAAGATTAAAAGTAAAATATAACATAAAAACTAACCTGACTATAAGAAATTTATTTATTTTAATTAAGAAGATTACTTTAATATGGGTTTAACTTTTCCGAGATGGAAAGAATGGTCCTAAACTCTTCGCAAATACTTAATTATTACTTCACTTAATTATATATACATGAGATTCAATCAATTTCTAAAGAAGTTAATTACGAAAATAGTAAAAGTGTCTCAATATTGTAATGATAATACATGCGACACACACATATATATATATATATACGAAAAGTTCAAACGATATCGGTGTAACTTTTACTAAGTATTACGCCGCTCAATAACTTTATATTAAATAAGAATTTTATAAATTCAACCGTTAGATTGAAAGTTATTTACTCTTAGATCATATATACAAAATTTTATATTAATCCAAGATGATTTGATACTTCATTCTAATAAAATAAAATTGACGTAATATATTTATTTAAAAATATACTAAAATATGAACACTTTGATTACCCTTAAGTTGTTGTTCAATTTTAAAAAAAATTGATATACATATATAAAGTGATATGAATTTTTAATCTAACGGTTGGATTTACAAAATTCTCATTTAATATAAAATTATTGAGCGGTGTAACACTTAGTAAAAGTTACACCAGTATCTATATATATATATATATATGTGTGTGTGTGTGTGTGATTCATGTGACAATACTTATTAAAATAAGAATATAAAAATAACAATTCTTAGATTAAAATAAAATAAATATTTTGAACACACACGAGGTGGGACTATTAAGCACTTAACATTAGATCAAAAGTTATAGTTGTTAGTCTGGACGCATCATTCGGCAAATAGATTTTATAATTACATTAAAGGTTTTTCAAATATTTATAACTGTTATTATTAATTAAAGAAAAGTTTGTGAAATTATATATTATATTAATTATTATATATAAATTTATTTTATTTATTTTAACGTATTTTGATTATATATTATGATTTTGATTAATTGAGAGATTTTATAGATAAAAATATTTTTAGATAAGAAAAATAAAGATTACAAAATTATTTTATTTGAAGATATATTATCTTATGTATTTATCTATACAATTTTAAATAATTACTTGGGTTATTTTATAATTATGAGTGTTATGTGATAAAAAAAATATTTTCTAGTTAATTATTATAGATAATTGAGTTTTTAAAAGAGGAATATCTTATGGTAGATTCAACATGTTTTATTGATGGGTTATACGAGAGTTATGGGTTAGTGTTCCCTATGGATTTATTAACAGTCTAGGATTGTCTCTCATCATTAATATGCATCTTTGTATTCTAAAGAGAAGAGTGTGACTCATCATTGAGAGAGAACAACAACAAAACATAAGACTAGACAACGATTTTCTAATTGTAATCAGAGATTTGTTCGTCGTTGAATTAGACTAAATTTGGATAGTAAGTTCATAAGATGTTATTCTTTATTTTCAATGTTTGGATCGTCCAAAGAATGTCTAGAGTGCGAGAAAAATATTTAGCACTAAAAGCTCTACTTTTAGGGGGTTTTGATCTTCTTACTTCTCATCGAGGAGGAAGAACTAGAGGCTATTTGAGACGACCTTGGATATTCACATATGGAGTTTAACATCCATTAAGGTAACAGAGAGTGAGAACTAATAAATGTGGATTTTACTTGAATTTCATGTTTAAGTTAACACTTATTCATCTTGGTTTTAATAGAAAATCTTCAACTTATCCCTTACTTTTATTCATCTTAATAGTATCACTTATTGTATAGTGATTAAGTTATTTTGTTGAGAGTTGATGGTTTTTATTAGTGATGTTTTGTTCCTTGTGTTGTAGGTCTTGGAAGTTAAGAATTTTAAGAAATCAGGAACCAAACAACTTAGCCCTTTAAAAGGGTTGAGCGCTTTCATGGTTGCAAGCATCAATGGATCAAGAGAACCAAACACTGAGATAGGTGTTTGAGTGTTTGGTTACTCT